TGATTTACACAAGGACGAAATTGCACTAAATTTCTAATACAGTTGTAACATGACAGAAGGTGGATTGATACAGTTTCTCAATAACGCAAAATTAAGTCAAAACATGTTAAAGCCGTCATTCCTTTGAGCATTTAGGGGGTACCCTCTTCTTTTTTCATTTTTTTTTTGCAGAACCATTTCATAAAAGAAGCAAAATTCATGTATCTCAACTCAGGCAACACAACTGTGTGTTTGTCCCCCAAAAAACAAAAGAAAAAGAAACTCAGGCGACACAACACACGGTTTAAAACTCAAATCAGTCAAACCCGGCTCGCTTCGCTTAAAAACCAGAGCTGATTGATGCATAAGAGCGTGAATTATAATAATGCTTATTCCATTACTAGTGATATGTAAGATTGAAGACATTATAGACCTATAAAGAATGCTTACCATAGTTTGTATTGCGTTGCTATCTGCCCTCTGATGAGAACCCATGAGAACATAAACGAAGACTAAGGCCCCGCTTGAATCTAATATCAAACAAACAGCTATAAAATTACCGCAGGAGGGATTTGGCAGTTGAATTTATGCTTTGTCCACTGAAAAAAAACTAAAGCTACTTGATACTAATAAAGTTTCTGTTTTTTTTTTTAGTACGAAACACTCAATATCCGAATACTTATTGAATTATTAATTAATCCAGATTTGAATCGGGTAAAACTCAATAAGTAATAAAACTCTCCTTTATAAATTTTAATAAAATTATATTTTTAAAATTTAAAATCAAAATCTTTAATTAAATTAAAACTATATCCTGTAAACTCATTTATCCACTCATAAGTACTAATAAAGTTTCTTTGTTGTGCTCTGTCAACTAAAAAACACTAAAGTTAGTTGTCACCAATATCAATTTCCCTTTATGCTGTTCTTCTGGTATCTCAACTATTAATAATAAAAGTTGGAAAGTTTAAGTTAAAAGAAAAGATAAACAGAGACATGAGAAAAAAATGATTGACTTTTAATATATTAATTTCATGTGAAGATTTAACATAATATAAAAATCACAT